TATTTAAGATACCCAGTAATAATTCAAACGTAAGCTTAATAATCTTAAATTCAATGCATCAAGTTTAAAAACTAAATTAGATGAATTATATATTGAGCCCTATTGTATGGAAATAGTTTTTGTGACAAATCATTAAATTAATGAATTTTTACTGAAAAAGGGGAGATTTTATTGAAATAATTAATACATACTGTACATAGAGAATATACATCTAGATCTCCATCAATGTAACCCTCATCTCATTTCCTGATGAATTCAATAGAAAAATAATAAGTTTATGGCTTTTAAAGGAGAATAAGAGAGATGTGATGCTAAAGGAGATGAGCTTTTCATTCAATTTCAGTTAATTATAAGCCATTGAATTGAATGCCTTTTGTGGCAGTAATTTGTATAATGGGAGTGAATGCCTGCCATAGACTACTCACTGTTAGGGTGACCAGAACGTCCTTTTTTATGGGTTTTGTCCTTTTTTGACCTCTCAGGACAGCGTCCTTTCGAGTGGTCGGAAAGGACTATACTTTGTCCTTTTTTTAATTTTATTAAATTCAATATAAAAAGGTTAATTTGTTTTAAAATATGGAAAATCTTATTGAATTCTATGCACTGTAGCGCTACAAAGCTGTAAAGTTATGACATTACAGCACACAAACAGTAAATAATAATAATAGAGTAGAAATCTATAATAAAAAATGTTGTATTTGTTAACAGAAAACGTTTATAAAAAGCAAAGAATGTATTTTTAATCCCTTTGGCCTAAACGATGTCATTTATTTTGTTTGTTAAAAGTGTTTTCATTTGAATATTCATTTAAAATGTGTAACAAAACAACGGAATAAAATAAAGGGATAATAATTTTTTGCGTCCTTTTTGTGTCCTTTTTTTTAATGACTATTTTTGATCAGTCGTCCTTTTTCAAGAGGATATTTGGTGGTCACCCTACTCACTGTATAGTATAGTACAAAATATATAAGTGTTATATATTTTATAGTATATATACACACATATAGATGGATGGGATATAAGTGCTATTATGATAACCATCAGCCCTTTTATATCATCTCTCATTAGTGAACTAGAATTCAATCATTTTATTTAATTATATTTATATTTAACATATAATTATAAAGATGTAAAGGCAATATATAACGACACATACAGTATAATACAGTACTAATGCATACATACAATAACATAATGTGTGGAGACATTAAAATCAGACCAAAATTTTAATCATAAAATTTTACGATACAATAGATTTCTATCTCTATATAAAATATATATTTTCAAACATACAAATGATAAAATAGGGTGAATTAAATTCCACCAGATTTTATCATTCTCTCTCCCTTTTCTCTAAGTTTATCCACAGATATAAATGTTTTGTTAGAGAGAGAGAGAGAGAGAGAGAGAGAGAATAAAATTGATCACAAAAATCTAAAAAAACTTATTATATTATTGTATAGTAAAAAATTTGACATAATTTTCTCCTACCAAACAATAGGACCAACAATAAAAGCAAACAACAATATAAGACAAAAACACTCATGATAAAAAATTATCAGATACACCGCATAATAGATAACATGTACACAAACCTTCTTCAGCGGTACTAAAGTGTATGTCCGGACAGTTGGCACTAAACCCCAGCTTATTCTCGGCGCTAAGTTGTAGGGTATAGGCTGTGACCGGTTTGAGGCCACGTATGGTATATGAGGTGTCGGTTCCCGGTATTGACTCCACTGTGTTATCGCCGGGAGGGGAGGATTGAGGGGAGGATTGCCAACCGTTCAGCGATTGTTTCATTTCCAATGTGGTAAATATCTGTAATTTATTTTGTGGACAGAAGTTATGATTAGGTTTTCAAATATAAAAATCTATTGCAAGAATCGCATCAAAATTTTATTTAAAAAATTCTGAGAGAGAGAGAGAGAGAGATGTCATAAAAACGACACCATTTGTGTGATAAGTGAAGCCTATATTGAATTACTATAAGAAATACTTATTATAACTCTCTGTATATATAGATATATAAGATATTTTATATTGATAAAGATACTGGAGCTGTCAAATCCAGTCCGGGAGAGAGTTATACTGATATATATCTATGTAAAAGGAATTGTATATAAACAAGATGATATATGGTTTGTTTTGAATTAATATTTAATTATAGCAAAATATGTTTGATATTTTGCATCAAAATTTTCAATTATATATTGTACAAAATATTTTACACAACATGCTGTTAATATGATAGCTGAAAAATATAATTACCCGGTTCAGTAAACGGAATAATGATACAGTGTAAATTATTTTCAACATAATACACACAATGTGATTAGAATTAAATAACTTTCATATACAGTACTGTATGTGTTATGTATTAAACATTATATTTTTTGTGGTAAATATCTGTAATTTATTTTGTGGACAGAAGTTATGATTAGGTTTTCAAATATAAAAATCTATTGCAAGAATCGCATCAAAATTTTATTTAAAAAATTCTGAGAGAGAGAGAGAGAGAGATTAAAGAAAGTCAAAATTAAACATATAATAATTCTGTCAGATTATGACCTATATATAATTGTATATACTCGCAGAAAATATATCATAAAAAATATTTAACATTTTTCATTAATCAATATTGTAGCTAAAAATTAAATATCAAACAAAAAGCAACACCATGATAATATCCGGATAACAATATCTGGATAACAGTATTAATTATACACTAACACTACCTTATACTATCAAAAATAAATCACCTTTCAAAATCTATTTCTACAGTAAGGGAACGGGACCCCAATCTGAAGAGGTTTATGGCCAGACACTAGTGATGGACAGGCCGTCGGCACCCCTACTAACTCAGGGGGACGTCGGGTACGACTGGATTGAGATCGTGTGGACCTTTCCCTCTGAGGCTAACCTTTCGGCCGCTTTGAGTCAAATCAACGGCTATTATGTGTTTTCCAAAAGCCATTCATCCGTTTGGATGGAGAGACAGATCCGCATCAAAACCAACGCCTATACCAGTAATGATTTGCTCTGCGGCACATTATATCAGGTGTGTATTGTATTATTGTTTATTTATGCTATAATATCCTACATGGTAATTACAGGATTGTGTTTTTTGTATTAATTAAAAAGATAATTTTTAGTATAAATCAGAGTTTATTTAAAATTAATTAAATATATTTACTACAATCAACAATTTCTTTGGTTAAATATTCACTACATTAAAACTGTAAATTCTACATACTATTATATTAATAATTGCTAGTAAAATGGGTTTATTATCTAATTGGTGTTTAGCAGTTGGGCGTTTATATTTTGAATCAAGCATAATTTATAAATACTATATATTTTTACCTTAATTGACAGTTTTATGTGGTGGCATATAATGCGATGGGAAAGGGAGACGCCAGTGATTCAATTGCTATTAAGACTAAAGGATCAAGTAAGATTGTTTCAAATTGCCTAAAATAATTTTAACACTAATTAAGCCGATATTATAATATAAATACTGTATATTTATAATTATTATATATTAAAAATAGAATTTTTTTTAAAATTAAAACCAGTTATATACCGCATAAAGCATATTATATTACCGTATACTAGAAAATATAATTATGTACAGTTGGTTAATAAATAATTATAAATGCTTGTCCATTATAATTATTTATTTAATGCAACAATCTATTTTATAAATTTAAACTATACAATTTAAACAAAAACTAGTTTATTAAATAATAAACTACAAACATAATTATATAAATAACCAAAAGTTACAAAATCATTTTAAAACTTATATTTAATTATAAAAATATTACAAAATTAACATGGTACATGAAATTAACTCCTTGCACCAGGTTAATCCAAACGTACAACATCGATAATTAATTATATGAGTTATAGTCTTATAATATTAAAAATTACAGTTTATTAACAAAATAATTAAATTTTTAATAACAGCATTTTTATTGATATAATTCAATAATTTAACATATAAATTAAAATTTTTAGATTAAATTATATCTTAAATAATAAATCTCAAAATTTTTACAAAATTACATAGCTTCATTTTCCTTCCATATAAATACATTAATTAATAATTTATATTAACTCAATCATTAAAATATAAATAAATACAGTTTTATAAGATATATAATAGCGAAAGGCTAGGATCACTTCTAGGATTATAAATAGTATTTTACTCATATATAATGTGACTGCTATGAGTGGTGGGGTTTAATGAAAGTTGTGATTCATATTTATATCAAACACAAATGATTTACGCTTTAAACCCATTAACTTATATTTCGAGGACAGGTAATGATTAATTTAATAGTAATCGTTATAGTGTATTCATTTAGTAGAAATAAAATTCGGCCGATACCTAATATATACAAAGTGTGTATAATAGCGAAAGGCTAGGATCACTTCTAGGATTATAAATAGTATTTTACTCATATATAATGTGCACTAATATGTGGTGGGGTTTAATGAAAGTTGTGATTCATATTTATATCAAACACAAATGATTTACGCTTTAAACTTATTCACTTATATTTCAAGGGCAGGTAATGATTAATTTAATAGTAATCTTTATCATGTATGATAATTCAGTAAAAATAAAATTCGGCCGATTCCTAGTGTATAATAAATATTTTTAATAAATAATTTAATACACAAATATATTTATTTGAAACTAAAATATATTTTAGACACAAATATCAAAACTACGTAGATAAAAGATTAACCATGTTTTTATTAGTGTTATATTAATTCTAATTCTATTAAAATATTAATAATTATAACTCATAATACACAAATATTAACATGTTATATTACTTTTCCCCTACACCAATAAACAGCACCTGTACCCCCAAAACATGTGAGTGAATTCCTGGTGGTGAACACTACGTGGGCGGTTATCAAACTGGACGCCTGGCATTCAAACGGCTGTCCAATCAAAGAGTTTCTCATACGATATCGAGTGACTAAATACGAGACCGAGTGGTCAGAAGTGTCGGCACAGGTCTGGCCCCAGGAGTCGAGCATTGAACTGCATCGAGTATATGTATCCTCAGCCACACGGCGTCCACACCTGACGTCTCGTTACGGATCACTTGATACCGGTTTTCGACGCCGGCGTCAAACGGCTGGCCATCTCTGGTTAGGGCGACGGCTATCGGCCTCTCGCCATATGATAGGCACTCAATCCATACGTCCTGTCCTTTAGTGACGGTTTGCGACCCAAATTTGCTCTTGAAATGAGCCCCAACTGTATGGGCCCGGAATAGGTGTAAAATAATTATCGAGTATTAAATTTTAATATCAAACATTAATATTGTTTAATTTTAATTAGTGAATTACTGATGATAATTGTTTAAATAAATGTTAAACTAAATAGAGCATAATAAAATTAATTAAAGAGTAACGAACGATGGGGAATACATTTTATACAACGCATGAATTTATCACATAGTTCAATCTAAATAAATAAAAATGTCAAAATTAACATTATTGTTAAATTAAAATAGAACGATTTATTCTAACTCACCCCGAGAAAAAAATTTTGATTTACAAATTAACATTATTATTTTAAAATACTTAATTTAAATTCAATATGACTGATATTCCGATAATAACCAATATTTATATAAATATAAATTTATATAAGTTTAATAATTGATTAATTAGCGTTAATTGAATGTATTTAAAAATCTATATGTTGCAAAAATTATTTAGTTTATTTAATATTTCATCAATGGTTATTCCGTATTTATATTTGTATGACTAACTTATTTAATGCCACTTGTCTTTTTAGTTAAAATTACATTTTTTTACTGTAAATAAATTTAACGTCATCATATTTAAAATTAAATATCAATTAAAGCCCCTGTACAATTTCAGCATCACTAATTAATTTTTAAAATTTAATAATTTACGATTATATTGTACAATTATATTGTACATTATACAATATATTTTCAACTAAAATGTCGTTGTTAAAAGTAGACGATAAATAATTTTCAACTAAATATAAAATTATCAAAAGCATTTAAATTTCTCAATTAAAATTAATGTAAATTTTGTATTTTTATCCTTCTGTCGACGTATTGCCATCATTAAATATGAATAAAATATTAAAGTAATAAATTATACTACACCATTAAACATTACAGTTTGATTTTTTAAATAATTCAAAATTGTACATACCGTGCACTTTGAGCTGGACCAATTTACTCAGGCCACTGCCCACACCATTATTGGCCTGACACAAGTAGACACCCTCGTCATCCGGGGTAACATCATTGATGGTCAAACTGCCATTTTCCATGGTGTGCATATGCGAATTTGAAATGACCGTGCGCAAATGTCCGTCGGCCAATTCCGATCGCTCCCACCAGACCCTACTCTGACCGCTGGCCACACAATTCATAACCACTTTCTGGCCGACTATAGACTCCGTGTCCATCGGACTGATCACCCATTTAGGCGGCACTGTATGGTTAAAATTGTTTGAATTAAGTTAGCTTGTTGAAATTTCTGAGTTATTTATACATTGTTTAATATACACGTCTGGACATAATAATCTGATTTTGTTTTTATTGAATAACTTCTCTCTCGATGGTTCAATCAAAAAGCTGTCTTCACAGAATTATTCTATGGATAATGGAGACTAATTTACTAATTGAGATTATTTTTGTAACTATCATGGTTAATTAATTATTTCAATATCAAAAAAGTGAGATTTTTAAAAGGTCTCCATAGAAAATCAATGGGAATTTATAAGTATTTTTTATTTTACTAATATAAAAATGATATTCAATGTTAATATTTATTATAAACCTTAATATTTTCACATGTTTAATCAACTTAAAGGACAATGATCAACAATGACCAAGTTTTATAGAAGCATTACTATGTTGGTATTTTTGAAAATGAATAGAAAAATAATTAATTAAAATCAGTTATTATAACCAATGACCACTTTTCTCTATTCCATCATGTTTGGGTATAGAGGTAGGTGATTAAAGATTATCAATTTATTACAATGTTATTTATTTCGTTCAAATATTCATTTTAAGTTCAAAAGTTCAAAATACTAAATTTTTATATCGTCTGAAGCATTGTATCAAAATATAGTTTCAATATTGACTTGATTATACACCATAGGATTAAAAAGTATCAATATACATAAACTTAATTTGGGATACACTTATTTTCTAAAAATTGAAAGAAGCGCATTGGGATAAATTGAAATAAATGAAATAAATTTAATAACTTGAACAGTTTATAAATAACGTAAATCGTATTAAATTTCTAATCTTATAATTTTTAGACTCTGAGCTCAAACATGATGGAATGGAAAAACGTAG